TTAAAAATAACTTTATAAGTACACGTTTTAGAATATCTTGAGACTCCCGGTAACTTCACCAAGTGTTTTGTTAATCCTGGTGTGAAAATACCAAGACACTGCAAAGACCTAGTCATCTCTTTTGAGAGTGTAAAGTAGACAATTGGAAGAGGCCTCTTGTGAGAGAGACTTGAGATCATGGTGAAAGTAATACTTTGGAGTCTCAGAAAGCCCTTTGGAGAACCTGGCATCCATAGGCAGAAAAACAGTTCTGTCGATTATTACAGGTCCATTCTGGTACTCGTGTGAGCTTGGGTCATAGAACCCATCCGGTCATTTTATTGTCCTGTCTTTGACATCCACTCTGCTCTCTAGTGGCTGCCAGAAAGTGCCAGATATGATGTCCTATCAGGAAACCAAGAAAAAGCTATTGCCACTTTAAAGCGGATAGCAACTGAAAACGGAGCTCCAATGCCTCTGGGAAAACTAATCATTTCCAGGCAGGTGAGTACAGATAAAAGGCATACTAAAGTTACAAGATATAATAGCAACTGTGCTACTCTCACCTATATTAATCTGTGTAATGTTTAATTTTGGCATCCCAGCTAGTAATAAACAATAATGAGGAGGGATTGCTTGTGTTTAATTAATAGTGATTTAAATCAAGGGCTCATTCCCATTTCCACTAAAGACTCTGGCAGTCTGAGGGGAGCTGTAAAGTAGGCATTAGTGACATTTTCTTTCCCTTCAAGGCTTAGTGAAAATAAGAATTGGGCTGTGACAGTACCAGTGGTCCCATATCTGGACACTGGAGAGCCATGCAGTTTTGGCTCTCAGGCTGGATCATACCTTTGCAGCTAGCCCCTCTGCCTGTAATGGAGGCTCAAACCCCTATATGTTCCCACAAACTGTGGATATGATTCGTAGCCAGGGCCAGTCTCACCAGATGTTGTATTGGACTTATCATCTTTTAGCCTGTATTTAGTCAGGGGGCAAAACATCCATTTTCAGCACCCCGATCAGCCTAGGAAATGGGTGTGTCTGGCAGGTACAAAACCAAAGCAGCATAAGAACTGAAAATCATAAAGCTGACTAGCATGGCATATATATGACTGAGTCCTGCCCAGACAAGGACAATGGAATTGAGCCCAAAGAGTTGTGTAGAGCTGGCCAGTGGCCCTGAGGGAATTTCAGGGCACACCATAGACGAGCCCCAGGTTGGGTTTCCTTAGGGCTGGGAATTGGTGAGGACTGGGAGCTCTGCCCAGGTGAGCTTTGCTTTGATACCCCTTAGAAATGTTTGACCCAGCCAGAATCCTCCTCTTGTGCCGTGCAGAAACACTTTGCTTAGTTGGGAGGTTTGGTTTTCAGGGTGGGGTTGGGAAATGTTTTTTGCTAAACCACAAGCTTGTGGCCCAGATGCTCTGCTCCTCCCAAATCCACACAGCTCCAGGGGAAGGGGGAGCTGAGCTGTCAGGGCTCAGCTTTCAGCTCCTTGATACTCCAACTGCCCTGGCCTTGGGCCCAGCCTAAATTAGAGCCGCCTAGGGCCGTTCAAATTTACCACAGCTGGCTGTGGTGCCTAATGGATCAGACACCAGCTGTATAGTTCGGTACAGTGGAGCCCTCCCTCTTCCCACCCCCAGCTCCACCTCCCTGCTGACACATTTCTGTCCTCCCCTGTGCTGGAGCACAGTGGCTGGTGTGTTAGCCAGCTCTGATAACTTTACACCCCACCTGGCAGGGGCATTTTTACGTTGGCAGCCCTAACTCGGTAGACGGTGGCTTCTTTGCGCTGCTCCTAAAGCTCCAGGGGCTTCCACAGGGGCTGAGTGTCTGCAGATATATGAGGCGGTACCCGGGAGAATGGATGCACTGTGATTCCAAACAGTCTAGTGCCCTCTGACTTCTTATGGCATCACATGAACTTGAGATCCTTACCGAATCAAACACCTGCGTTTTAATTTGTTTCAAAACAGGAGGACCGAGGGAAAATGAGGGACCTTTTCACACCCCAGTTTCGGCGGACAACATTGTTGCTTTGGTTTATATGGTAAGAGGAGATTTAAATGGCACTGTGCCAGCATGGTGGATCCATGTGTTTTTGGATGAGTGCATTTGCAACCTCACTGAAATACAACAAACCCTCAAAAAGCTGTATTGATTTGTGATTTTTCTAAACCACCTATTCACTTCCAAGCAATGGAAGACCTCACACTGCAGATCCCGTTGTGATTTATATTGATTATGATTTGTCTGACCAGTTGAGACTTCCCCTCTCATTTCCTTCTGTGCAGGTTTTCCAATGCCTTCTCTTATTATGGGTTAGTTTTATTAACTACAGAGCTCTTTCAAGCAGGAGACGTCTGCAGCAGTGAGTACCAGCCCTTCTCTTCTTTCTAAATATGCCCTTGTAAATGAGAGAGAGAATGTGTGGTTCCTTGTATTGAGCCAGCTCCTGCTGATGGCTTGAGAATAATCATGACTTCCAGCATGCAGCCGAGGAAAGCTTGTTAAAGCTTGCTTATTTTAACTGCTCATCCCTGTTCTGTGTTTGACACCTCGGGGTTCAGCA